TTAGAGAATTATCTGACTTTAAGACATTTTTTTCAGGTTTTCTTATTGTCATGCGATTCAGCATGTGAATGCTGCCTTTTTTTTTTTTTATTTTTTATTGTGGGTTGTTCAAAACATTACAAATTTCTTGACATATCATATTCCACACTTTGATTCAAGTGGGTTATGAACTCCCACCTTCACCCCATACACAGATTGCAGAATCACATCAGTTACACATCCATTGATTTACATATTGCCATACTAGTGTCTGTTGTGCTCCGCTGCCTTTCCCATCCTCCACCATCCCCCCTCCCCACCTCTCCCCTCCCCTCCCCTCCTCTCTCTCTACCCCGTCCACTGTATAACCCTGAGGGTCTCCTTCCATTACCATGCAATTTCCCTTCTCTCTCCCTTTCCCTCCCACCTCTCATCCCTGTTAAATGTTAATCTTCTTCTCCTGCTCTTCGTCCCTACTCTGTTCTTAGTTACTCTCCTTATATCAAAGAAGACATTTGGCATTTGTTTTTTAGGGATTGGCTAGCTTCACTTAGCATAATCTGCTCTAATGCCATCCATTTCCCTGCAAATTCTATGATTTTGTCATTTTTTAATGCAGAGTAATACTCCATTGTGTATAAATGCCACATTTTTTTTATCCATTCGTCTATTGAAGGGCATCTAGGTTGGTTCCACAGTCTTCCTATTGTGCATTGTGCTGCTATGAACATCGATGTAGCAGTGTCCCTGTAGCATGCTCTTTTTAGGTCTTTAGGGAATAGACCAAGAAGGGGAATAGCTGGGTCAAATGGTGGCTCCATTCCCAGCTTTCCAAGAAATCTCCATACTGCTTTCCAAATTGGCTGCACCAATCTGCAGTCCCACCAGCAATGTACAAGTGTACCCTTTTCCCCACATCCTCACCAGCACTTGTTGTTGTTTGACTTCCTAATGGCTGCCAATCTTACTGGAGTGAGATGGTATCTTAGGGTGGTTTTGATTTGCATTTCTCTGACTGCTAGAGATGTTGAGCATTTTTTCATGTACTTGTTGATTGATTGTATGTCCTCCTCTGAGAAGTGTCTGTTCAAGTCCTTGGCCCATTTGTTGATTGGGTTGTTTGTTATTTTTTTGTCTAATTTTTTGAGTTCTTTGTATACTCTGGATATTAGGGCTCTATCTGAAGTGTGAGTAGTAAAGTTTTGTTCCCAGGATGTAGGCTCCCTATTTACCTCTCTTATTGTTTTTTTTTTTTGCTGAGAAAAAACTTTTTAGTTTGAGTAAGTCCCATTTGTTGATTCTAGTTATTAACTTTTGTGCTATGGGTGTCCTATTGAGGAATTTGGAGCCCGACCCCACAATATGTAGATCGTAGCCAACTTTTTCTTCTATCAGACGGCGTGTCTCTGATTTGATATCAAGCTCCTTGATCCATTTTGAATTCACTTTTGTGCATGGCGAGAGAAAGGGATTCAGTTTCATTTTGTTGCATATGGATTTCCAGTTTTCCCAGCACCATTTGTTGAAGATGCTATCCTTCCTCCATTGCATGCTTTTAGCCCCTTTATCAAATATAAGATAGTTGTAGTTTCGTGGATTGGTTTCTGTGTCCTCTATTCTGTACCATTGGTCCACCTGCCTGTTTTGGTACCAGTACCATGCTGTTTTTGTTACTATTGCTCTGTAGTATAGTTTGAAGTCTGGTATCGCTATACCACCTGATTCACACTTCCTGCTAAGCATTGTTTTTGCTATTCTGGGTCTTTTATTTTTCCATATGAATTTCATGATTGCTTTCTCTATTTCTACAAGAAATGCCGTTGGGATTTTGATTGGCATTGCATTAAACCTATAGAGAACTTTTGGTAATATCGCCATTTTGATGATGTTAGTTCTGCCTATCCATGAACAGGGTATATTTTTCCATCTTCTAAGATCTTCTTCTATTTCTCTCTTGAGGGTTCTGTAGTTTTCATTGTATAAGTCTTTCACCTCTTTTGTTAGGTTGATTCCCAAGTATTTTATTTTTTTTTGAAGATATTGTGAATGGAGTGGTTGTCCTCATTTCCATTTCAGAGGATTTGTCGCTGATATACAGGAATGCCTTTGATTTATGCGTGTTGATTTTATATCCTGCCACTTTGCTGAATTCATTTATTAGCTCTAATAGTTTCTTTGTAGACCCTTTTGGATCTGCTAGGTATAGAATCATGTCACCTGCAAATAGTGATAATTTAAGTTCTTCTTTTCCTATTTTTATGCCTTTAATTTCTTTCGTCTGTCTAATTGCTCTGGCCAGTGTTTCGAGAACTATGTTGAACAGAAGTGGTGAGAGAGGGCATCCCTGTCTTGTTCCAGATTTTAGAGGGAATGCCTTCAATTTTTCTCCATTCAGAATGATGCTAGCCTGAGGCTTAGCATAGATTGTTTTTACAATATTGAGGTATGTTCCTGTTATCCCTAGTTTTTCTAGAGTTTTGAACATAAAGGGATGCTGTACTTTGTCGAATGCTTTTTCCGCATCTATCGAGATGATCATATGGTTCTTATTTTTAAGTCTATTGATGTGGTGAATAACATTTATTGATTTCCGTTTATTGAACCAGCCATGCATCCCAGGGATGAATCCTACCTGTCTTTTAAATACCTTATTGAGTGACATTCTTAAAGGAAAAGACTGCAGCATATTTCTGAGCTTTTGGTGTTTACAGATTTTTACATCTACATTTTCAGAACATTTCCAGTCTTTTAAATGGCATTTTTTAAGTATAAATGTATGCTGTGTGTGTATCTATATATGGACTTTTATGTATGTCAATATAGACTCTAGTCTAAAATGTCACAAAAAGAGTATATACTGCAAATTGGCAACAGTAATATTATCTCCTTAATGTCAAATATTTATCCATAAATAAAGACTTGATGGTAGACAGATCACAATGTATTTTTTTAGTTATACATGACAGTATGTTTTGATATTTTTATACAAACATGGAGTACATTTTTTTTAACTTAAAACGAATTTAGAATTACAGATTTGTTCTTTATCCAAATGCTTTTAAATTATGAAACACTTAGAACATTCGGGAAAATGTAGAGAGAAAAAAATTTAACTGTTCTTTCACGGTTCTGCCATTGTGTCTTAGTGTTCTACATTGTTAGTTTTGACGCATTTTTTCCCTTTTTTGCATGCATGTTTTTTACATTATTGAGATCATAAAAATGCACAATTTTATTACTTTTTTTCCCACTTACTAACTTGGAAGTCTTTCGCATCTTTAGATTCTTTGTAATAAAATTTTAATAGATTATCGCAGAATCATATAGACATACCATAAAATAATGATTTGCATTTAATATCTGTCATGTCAGTCATGGTACTAAGTATCTTATCCCAATTGTGTGTGACCTTAGAGCAGTCCTTTCAGGGATTCAGCATTATCTCTACTTTGTGGATGAGAAAACAGATTCAGAAATGTTAACAACTTCCCCATTGTCACAAAAGTAATATAACACTTTGGTTTTTCTATTGTGATGCCTCCAATTTAAGTATTCTTTTTCTGTTGAACATTTAGATTGTTCCCACTTTTGCTAATATACACACAATTTAACATATTAAGTCATAGGTTATTTTACTTTTTGTCAATCCAACTTTTACTGTGTTCAGTGTCATAATGCAGTAAAAGCAGTAGTAAATATTTTTGTCTGTATTACTAACCTCTAAATTCTCTGGAGCTTTGGAAAGTCACCCAAACCTTTCATTCCCGTTATTTCTTCAAAATGAATACAGTGTACCAGAGTGACCAGAAAGATGCTAGTGAATTTCCTTAGGTAATTTAAAAAATACTTTAAAGACAAAATAATCTTTTCTAAGCGGTAGTTTTATTGTTGCTTTTTTATTCTATTTTATGGATGTTGGAATCTTATTTAATAGGAATCAGCATACTTTTGGCCCAGTTTCCTAACACTGTTGAAGGAAAGTGTCAGTGAGCCTAACTATAGTTATACTTGGAAGAATTGAAATGATTGCTGAGTTTTTCTACATTATAGTTGACTTATAGTATAGACTCATGAGAAGTTTTTTTTTTAATTATTGTTAATGACTAATTCTTAGAAAATGTAGAGAGTAAAACACCAATTAATCATTTTCATATAACTTTAATCAGCAAGAGGGAAAGAGATGAAAAGTAGATGAGGGTTATGAGGCTTAATGATTGTCCTCTTAAGTGCTTAATTTATGCTATCAATTTATATAAGCAATATAAGCATCAAAAAGAAAATTTAACAACTTTTTGAAAAGTGATCCAAAAAGAAAGAAATGGACAGACACTAGAAGGTTCTGAAAATTGAAAGCTCACAAAATATTTGTCACTAAAAATTTAAGTGTGACATACAGACCAGACCTCATTTCTATATTTTCTAACACTGGAAAAGAAAATTTAAAAGTAAATGCAACATCTGGCATTTTAACCTGGCCTGTGTAAGAATGTCATAGCAACGTTTGTATCAAAAAAACTTTTTTTTTATGTATGTTATTTGGTAAGTTTAATTGGATTTGAAACTCTTATGATAGTCGATGTCGTCATATTCATTTACGTAGCTAATGTGTGTTCTTGTCTTGAGAGTAAAACTAGAAAATGCCTGGAAAAGAAAACACTTTAATATTTATTCATTAGTGGCTAATATTTGCTCAAGCAGGATTTGCTTAGATTTCTTTAATATAGATGTATTTGTGTATGGTGCTCAGAAAGTTTCTGATTCTGTATCATTTCAGATTTTCACATTAAAGATGGTCAACCTCTGTAACTACTTGTTACAAATTCAATCTGAAGATTAGATAATTAAAGGGTGCCAATACTTTCTAATAGGTTACTTAAAAATTATAGCTGCATATTTCATTATTTCTCTAATACAAGTTCCCTAGTTCTAGAAGATAAAAATATTGTAATCCAATCACTAGCCTGTGACAGTAAAGAGGTTTATTATATTTTCTACAAAATAAATTCCTTTTCTATTTACAGGAAACCTGTCCAGTTTAAATCGTCTTGGTCTGAGATACAATAGACTGTCAGCAATACCCAGATCACTAGCAAAATGCAGTGCACTTGAAGAATTAAATTTAGAGAACAATAACATTTCTACTTTACCAGAGGTAAGAATTGGATTAGAAAACATGACTTGATTAAAATAAGTCTTCAAGAGAACTCAGGGAAATTCTGAATAGCTGGGTAAATAATTTGATGACAGAGATTGTTTAAATAACAAGTATGCTGTATAGCTACCACTAAGATAAAAATTCCAAAGAGTAAAGAAAGGATATAGGGAAACGATTTTTTAAATATGGAGAAGGCAAAAGTCAGAAGGAAAATTAGTGTGCTGTAGACCCCTGTAGCACTATGAAAATCTTTCTCATATCATTTTGGCCATTAACAGTAAAAATTATTAAAAAAAAAAAAAACTGTATGGCTAGTTTTAAAACTTATCTACCCTTCCCAGTTCCTTATAAAAAGGTACTGTAGCAAGATGATAAATGCCAAGAATGATCTTGATAGAATATACTACTTATTATTAAAATTAATATTAGTTGCACCTCTCATGGGACCTAAATTATTACCCTAATGATGCAGTAATATTGAAGTCTTTGGTATGTGACAGTCACCAAAATCTGTCATTTTTTAAAACATTACTTTTAACTTGGGTTATGTTGTTTATTTTTTTAAAATTTCATTTATTTTGCCTTGGTATTGATTGGGTAAGATACAACACTCTTTTAAGTTGTCTTTCTCAACAATGAAACAGAATCTCACTCAAATATTTGCTTATGTTTATTCAAGCAATAAACAACAATAGTTTAACAAATGGAATTGTGGACTCAAGGATTGATAGAGCTTTTGAGAAGTCTTTCCCTCTCTCAATTAAAAATGTCTTATATAAGTGGCCCTACAGTGTTTTGACTTGCTCATTTTTCTCTGTGTGTTTCATATTTAAGGTTAAAATATGAAGAAACATTTGGGCAGATGAAGGCAGTAGACTTTATATCAACTAATTTATATAAATTAACTTTCTTTCTTAAAGGAATGGAGAGAGAGAGAGAGAGAGAGAGAGAGAGAGAGAGAGTGTGTGTGTGTGTGTGTGTGTGTGTGTGCGTGTGTGAGAGAGAGTTTTAAGTTGGGTATCTGCATTTTCATAAAACAGCTTCGCCAGGGTTTAAAGATGAGTTTCTACCAGGCAAAGTGGTGTTTGCTTATAATCCTAACTACTATAGAAACTGAGACAGGAAGATTGTTTGAGGACAGCATGGGGAATTGAGTAATATCTTATGTCAAAATAAAAAAATAAAAAGGGCTGAGGATGTAGTTCTGTGGTCAGAATGTCCCTGAGTTCAATCTCTAGTACTGGTGGGTGGTGAGGAAATGAGTTTCCCACAATTGCAATTTCTAGGCTGTATTAGTTCATTAAGACTGTTATGACAGTATCTTACCTGTGACAAAAGAGTACTTCTGTTGTTAGCAGGTTAACTGGGATAAGGAAAAAATCCACAGATATCAGATACAGCCCTGAGAACCAGAATATCTGGATTTTTGTCTTTCTGTGATAGTAATAATTTAGAGAGATCAAAATAAGGGAGGTTCTGTTGTTTAATGTCTGCTGCAGTCTGGCTGGGCACAATCAGGAGCCACTTGTCAAAAGAAACTAACTTTATTTTTAGAACCACACACGCCAAACAAAACCGCCTCTCAGGAAAAACCCTCAGAGCCTCAACTGCCACCACCGGCTTTCCACAAGCCTCTCTCTCCCACACAAGCTTCTCTCCACCTCCCACAATCCTCCTGCTCTTGAGGCCGATTGGCTGGGTCACATGGGCGGAGCCAAAAAAGTCCCCCAATGAGCAGCTCCGTGGTCTGAAAGGGCAGGGAAACAGTCCAATGAGCATCACCGCAGAGGAGCCAATCAGCTAGATGTTGCTGGGGCCGCTGTGAGCCAATCATCAGCTGGCAGCTGGAAGTTTGCTGGGGCCCCTTGGCTGTGGCTCTCAACAAATGTCATCCCTCTTTTCTAATCAATGACCTGTATCCATAACAGGGTAAGCAATTAGCACATTTACTAGTTCTTGTTGAGATTCTCTTTGGGTGTGATTTGTGAGCTTAAGTAAGAGTCACTGCTTTTAACATATGAATATGCCTAAGTATAAAGACTGGGTGTACGTAGAAATTCAAAAAGTGGAAAATTTAAGTGTGTGTGTGTGTATCTCCCAGTTTTATTGTCAGTTAAGGGAAGCTAATAATTATTAGGTACCTGTTAGAATACCTGTTCTAGTTCAAATATATATATGTGTGTGTGTGTGTATTTAAATATTTTGGGTTTTTTGTTGTTGTTAGAGCATTATTGTTATATGTAGTAGTTGGGTTAATTTTGACAAAATCATACATGCATGGAACTTGATTTTAGTTCAGGTTCCCCCCTTTTTTCCTTCCCATCCTCCCTCTCCTATTCTCCGTCTTGTAAGCTAGTGATCTTCCTTTTGCTCATCTACTTATTTATTTTTGGTTGATTCTTTCTACTTATTTATAAAGTGCCGCAGTCTGGCTGGGCACAATCAGGAGCCACTTGTCAAAAGAAACTAACTTTATTTTTAGAACCACACAGGCCAAACAAAACAGCCTCTCAGGAAAAACCCTCAGAGCCTCAACTGCCACCACCGGCTTTCCACAAGCCTCTCTCTCCCACACAAGCTTCTCTCCCCCTCCCACAATCCTCCTGCTCTTGAGGCCGATTGGCTGGGTCACGTGGGCGGAGCCAAAAAAGTCCCCCAATGAGCAGCTCCGTGGTCTGAAAGGGCAGGGAAACAGTCCAATGAGCATCACCGCAGAGGAGCCAATCAGCTAGATGTTGCTGGGGCCGCTGTGAGCCAATCATCAGCTGGCAGCTGGAAGTTTGCTGGGGCCCCTTCGGCTGTGGCTCTCAACAATAAAGTTGCAAATCCCTGTGTTATGTTTATATATATGCATATAGCATGATTTTTTTTTAATTTCATTTGCATTTCCTCCCTTCCCTTCCCACCTTTCTCCCTCTGGTTCACCTTCTACTCTGCTGATCTTCTCTATATCTTTTTGATAACTAATCTTCCCTTCCTTCCTTTCCTTATTTTCCTGTAGCTTCCACATATGAAAGAGAACATTAGACTCTTAATTTTCTGAGACTGGCATATTTTTCACTTAGCATGATGTTCTCCATTTCCATCCATATTTTTCTGTTTAAGTCAAAATTTTTTTTAAAAAGCAGTTTTACGTTTGAAAAACTAGTGGTCTTTCATATCTTCCCTGTCCCCACATATGCATAGCATTCCCCATTATAAACGTCACCCACCAGGCTTCATACCTTTGTTAAAATCACAGTTTATGAATCTATCTGGACATATTATAGTCACGAAGTTCATAGCTTACATTAGAGTACACTCGTGGCATTGTAGATTACATTCATTGAAACAAATTTATAACATATCCACCATTATAATATTAAGGAGATTCACTGCCTAAATGTCATCTATATGCTGCCTATTTGTTCCCTCCTTCCACCTAATCCCTGATACTTATCAATCTTGTTTTTTCCCCCTGGTTTTTTTTTTTTTTTAAAGCACTATTACATGCCTCAGGCATGGAAGTATTAGACACCTCTTTTTATTTTTGATAAGAGGATTCTGAGGTAGGGTCACAAGTTCAAGACCAGCCTTGGCAACTTAGTGAAACCCTGTCTCAATTTTTTTAAAAAAGGGCCAAGGATATAGCCCAGAGGTGAAGCACCCCTGGTATTCCCCACTACTGAAAAATGGAGAAAAGAAGAAAAAAAATTAGTTTGCTCCAAGCCACAAGCTATTAAAAGATAAGGCCAGAATTCAAAACTATTTGAATAACCAATACCAATGTTTCCTAAATATTAGCATACAAGTCAGCATAGAATTTTGTTATAATGCATATTAATTCTGTGGGAGTGGGCTCAGAGTTCCATTTCTAACAGTCAGGGGATACTAATGCTGCTCTTCCTTGATCCAGCCTAAATAATGAGAACCTGTTCTGTATAATTCGTTATTGATGATATACCAGTTGTGCATTATTTTCTAATTCCTTCTAAAAAGTTTAATGTTCTTAATGGCAGAGATTCTTTTATATTTATACACTTAGCATTCTTTTTATGTAGTGGGAAACTAAACTAGGGAGAGATGAGGTTATATGGTAAGTACTTGTTTAATACTTGTATTCCCCTCAAATTTACCATATAAAAAAGGAATGTGTTGAATAATATCAAGAAGTATAATCATCTTCTGAATTTAGTATTCCTTAAAAGAACCATTAAATTATTGAATAACGATTTACTCTGTGCCAGGAATTATGTTAATCTTAATACTAATTTAGAGAGAGGTATATAACTAAAACCTAGATAGGATTGGTTACATTCAGTGGCAGAGCCAGAACTCAAACCATAACTGTCTATTTTAAACTAAAACTTCTAAGCAGTCTCAGACTAGCCACCCTTGGTACTTCTCACTCAGATGCATTCTTTATGTCATAGAGTGTTTTAAATAAACTGAATCCAAACAATAAAGCGGGGGGGGGGAGGGGAGGTGCTTTTTCTACACATTTCTGCAAGGCAAGGCGACAGCATGTTAGAACTCAGTAGTGACTGAAGTGTCTTAGAACCAGCCTAACTGGTCTCTGTGGGTCCTTACCTCCAAGGCCCTTTGAAGTATTTGTGTTTGGAATTTGCTGTGCTATTCAAATTAAGTTTGTTTCAGTTCTAAGTATTTATGCTTATTTTCTTTTTTACAGAGTCTTTTATCCAGTCTTGTGAAACTGAATAGCTTGACCTTAGCTAGAAATTGCTTCCAATTGTATCCAGTGGGTGGTCCATCTCAGTTTTCTACCATCTATTCCCTCAACATGGAACACAATCGAATCAATAAAATCCCATTTGGAATTTTCTCTAGAGCAAAAGTATTAAGTAAGCTGAATATGAAGGTAAGCTGTTTGTATCAGAGGAGAGGAGGTGTTACAAATGCATTTGATATTTCTATTTTCTCTATTGGTATGGATAATGTGTCCTTTCACCTTATAACAAAATAACAAAGGATATTTTGGGGAAGTTTTTAAATCAGATAAAACAGTCTCACAATTGTGTATACCCTTAGGAATTAGTCCTCAAGAAATAATAATGAACATGGTTGTAGGTATGTTTATTGCAGAACATTTTTAAAGGCACCAACTTATTCCTAGTATTATGGATTTAATTTTTTTAAAGTGGAATACTGTGGAGCTGATACTCTTATATAGAAGAATATTAAATACTAGTTACAATATTATTAGTTTATTAAGCATTAGGAAGTTATGGCATGTAAAAAATTCTTTCTATAGTTTTTAAAGCTGTTTTTGATATGCTTAATTACATATTGAATACTTAGATATTTAATATATCTAAAATCTCTTTGGATATCAGAATTATTTATGGGTGATCTGTAGTTTATTTTTGCTTATCTATATACTCTACAGTGAATGGATCTCACATGAGTAATAATTTATTGTGAAAGAGGTCAAGAAATGGTGATTTATCTAGTCCAATAATTTAATTTGTCATAAACTTTGCACACAGAGAAGACAGCATATTTGGCCACATAACTAATTCATGGCTGAGGCAGGAATTCAGGAACCTAGATTTTCCAATTTTAGGTAGAGAGTTTTTTATATCATATCATGCTACATCTTTTTGTCCTTGATGAACCATTCAGCATAATTATTGCTCTTTATAATTTAAATTTACAATTTCTTGATTCTGTCTATACTTGGTCATAAATATAGTATGTATCTTTTATGATAATTCTTTGAAAGTATATAATGACTGAAGCAGTGTAAATTAAAAATCTTACCTCAATAAAAAATTTTAATATGGCTACATAATTACTATATGCAGTAATAGTAATATGGTGGTAAACACCATTAATTTTGCATGTGCATTTTATAGTAATAGTTTTAGAACATAGTGGTCTAGATATTCACTAGTTTTTGCATTTGATTGTACATTTTTATGAATTTGACATTATTACAATATGTTAGCTTGGAAAGGCTTCTTGTTTTCAGTAAAATAATAAAACTTTATATAGGGGCTGGGATTGTGGCTCAGTGGTAGAGAGAGCGCTTGCCTGGCATGTGTGAAGCACTGGGTTTGATTCTCAGCATCCCACATAAATAAATTAATAAACAAAATAAAGGTTCATTAACAATTAAAAAAAAATCTTTGTACAGCACTTTGCCTTGTTCAAACTTTATAAATGTTTAACACAGCTTTCTCTTGAAGAAATCAAAATGAAGCTTGATGTTTTCTTTCTCATATAAGATTTACTTTCCCAAAGTAAATCGTTTTTAAGGAAAATACTTTGTCACATTGTACCTTTTGGTAGTCTGGGCAAAGTTGGGTAATGTTAAATATTTTTAATAAATTTCAATGTTACAAAACAAAAACTTAATTTTCAAATATATGTTCACTAATTGGGATTCTTCATATTGATGATTCTGTATAAAATGAGACAAGTAATCCATGAGTATTGCAGAACAGTTTTTAAATATATACTAACAAAAGAACGTAAAATAATTTCATGACCAAGAGCTTAACATATTGGCATATTGATACCCAACTGGGACAAAGGTGTTATCACCCTCTCCCGTTACCAGTGTAATATTTTATTTAGAGTTGTTATTAATGAAAGGGATCTTAAAAGTGAATATGTGCCAGGTATGGGTTACACGCCTGTAATTCCAGCAGCTTGAGAGGCTGAGATGGGAGGATTACAAGTTGAAAGCCAACCATAGCAACTTAGTGAGGCCCTAAGCAATTCAGTGAGACCCTGTCTCTAAATAGAATACAAAAAGGGGTTGGGGATGTGTCTCAGCGGTTAAGTGTCCCTGGATTCAATCCCTGATTTTAAAAAAATAAATAAATAAAGTGCAAGCAGGGAAAAGGTCATGTTTTTATTATTTAGTGATGAATGTATCCTATCTTTCTCTTCTGCTTTACTGTTCAGCATCTCTTCAATTCCTGAGCTCATCTGGGTTTCCTTTTGGACCGTAATATGTATCTTCTTTCATTGTGCTCATATCTTAATTTGACCATTCACTGTTTTTTTTGAGTGGTTTCTGTACATTATTGTGAAATAAAGAAAACATCAAATTTATCACTATTGTTTTTGAAATCTCCAGTGGTTTCTCTGTATAGTATTTTTGTATTTCTATTACTAATATTCACATAAGAAGCAAACTTCCTCTTTAAACTCAAAGCAAAAGCCTACTTACTGTACAAAAATCTTGGAAGCTTGTTGCTTTTGTTACTGCCTTTTTTTTTTTCCTCCCTGATATCAAAAAGGAGAATAAGGCTTCTGTTTAAGAATTTTCTTCTTTCCCAAAAGAAGGTACATATGGAGCTTTGTTTTAATGGTTCCATATAGAATGGTGCTTTTTGTCTTTGTCAGGACAATCAGTTAACATCACTTCCTTTGGACTTTGGAACTTGGACCAGCATGGTAGAATTGAATTTAGCCACTAATCAGCTCACAAAGATCCCCGAGGATGTATCTGGACTTGTTTCTCTTGAGGTGAGTGAGTACTAATGAGCATTTAAAATTTCTTGGTCTCTTCCACAATTACCTCACTTAGATAGTTTCAAGTTAAACAATTTCTCTTTCAGTGAAGATCATAATTAAAAATGATCATAATAAGAACTTTCTTAAACACATGACTCTGTTAGGATGACGAGGCATTGGATTAATTAGTTAAGTTCAATACTACTGAATAAAAACTGTACTGTTGTTAACCAAAATAATTATAGATACTTCAGATAGGCATTTAGAACCTTTTCATCTATGATTCTGGCCTAATTTCCATCCTAAATCACTCACCTGCTATTTGTTAGAAATTTTCCTGTCTATGTTTAGTCCAGTTGTTTCTAGCTTCTCAAATTCCCTTCTCATCCTCTTTTTTCTTTTAAAATTCTTTCCTATGGTTAAAGTCCATCTCATTGTCACCTCCTCAGTCGAGGATGATTGCTTCTGCCTCTAAGTCCCTAAAGTTTTCATTAGTAAAGCTTACTAATAGTACTTACACTGTTTTAAATTTTTTCCTGTATCATGTTTTTTAAAATTCCTGTTTAATTTAGTAAGGTGAAACAGGGTTGTGTGGTTGAAAGCATGGGTGAAATAAGAGGATGTAAAAAATTAGCTAGAATCTTTTGAAAGTCTTTCTTCTTAGTGTTTTGTTCCATCCCCCCACCTCCAATTTTCATTATGTCTCCTACTCCTCTAGTAGTTTATAATTTCTTTGAAAACAAGGACCATCTTCCTCAGCCTCCCCCTCCCCCCTTTATTATCTTTTAGAATGCCTTGAAATGTAGTAAATACCATGAATAATAACTGCAGTAGGTTGATTGTAAGTCAGTTGCTACCTTCTTAAGTGATTGTTTGCAACAGATGGTTTGTTAAGACATTTGTAACTATTTTTTATTTTTGTAATTTAGTTATAATGACATTTCTTTTTCACTTTGAATTTGACATTTAAAAAATTTCCAATAACTAGTGGGCTTTAAAAATTTTTAGGATACTAAATTAAATGTTATTTAATCAAATGTTACCTATCTTTAATATTCACTGTTTAGAAAATTAGCATTTCTTATAAATTTTAAGCCACACAATGGTAAAAAAATATATATGTATGTATATAAAATTCCATTTCATGTGTTGTCAACTGTCAATTATTTCTCTGTAGGTTCTAATATTATCAAACAATCTTCTGAAGAAGCTTCCCCATGGTCTTGGAAACCTTAGGAAGTTAAGAGAGTTGGATCTAGAGGAGAACAAATTAGAATCCTTGCCAAATGAAATTGCTTATCTTAAAGATTTACAGGTAAATCATGCTAGTGGCCTTGTAGTTGTATGATTATAGTTTTTTGGAATTCATTTTTCTAATTCTTTGCCATTTTCTAATTCTTAGACCAGATAGATAGTTCTGTTATAGGATTAGGGCTGAGTTTTAAATTCGTGTAATCTGCATTTGTCCTAACAAATGATATTTTTTGAAAGAGAATCCTGTAATTTAATTTACTCACCTGATTTAATTTCCCTATTTTATTCTTTTATAGAGGTATTATTTTAAATTTATATTGGTTGTAGAAAATGTGTATATAACTATTTTTATTGTCTAATTTTTTAGAAATTAGTCTTGACAAACAACCAATTGACCACTCTTCCCAGAGGCATTGGTCACCTTACCAATCTTACACATCTAGGCCTTGGAGAGAACCTACTTACTCATCTTCCTGAGGAAATTGGTAAGAACCCTATGGATTATTAACTCTACTAGTAATTTGTTGTTGTACTTTCAAACAATATTTCAGATAAATTTGTTTTTGTAAGCTGAGGTTATATTAGGCTTGTGAGTGTTTTTGTGGAGTACCAATGGTTAGTGTTAGTGGGTTGTTTGATGTTGTTTGTTTCCTTAGGGGGTGTTAGAATTAATACTACATTTGAAAATGTTTTAGTACATCTCTATTTCCAATGGGTTTATGTCATCTCAGTTTAGCAGAATTATTTTGTGTCTAAATTTGAAAAAAAAATCACATAGACTTGAATCAAATTAGTAATTCTTGTAGCAAAAGAACTTTTCTTCATGGAGCTTTAGGATTAATATTAATATTTGATTCATATCAATATTTTGGGTGTATTTTAGAATTTTGCCAAGTCTTTTTATATCCACTATTTCATATAATTATCATGACCACCTTGAATTTTTTATAGTGCAAGTTGTAATACTGTTTTACACAGAGCTAATTAAGGTCATCTAGTAAATAACTGAGTTCTTAATAATTCTATGTATATTATTCTGCCTTCAAAAGTATGTTGCCCCAGAAGCATTATAGATTAGTAGTTAAGAATGGTTTTGGAGATGATAGGCAATTTAAAATCTGACTCTGGCACTTCCTAGTTTTGTGACTTTGGATAATCTACACAAACTCAAATCCTCAATCTTCTTACCTGTAAAATAAGCATAATAGTTATTTCATATAGGGTTGTTCTAAAGAGGAGTAATATTTTATGTGTAAAAGAAATTCATTACCTGCTAGCTGTTATTTTTACTGCTTTTCTAATAAATAGTTACTATGAATCCATATTTTGATGTTTAAAATTGAAAACACATGAAACAACTTTCTACTTAAATTTTTATTTTTACTCAGCTGGCCTCATTAAATTGGTTAAGAAGTTTGCCTTCAAAGTATGACCATCTTAAGATAGTCTTAAGAAAATTTTTTGAAAGACTGCATGAATTTATTTTGGTTTATTGTCAAATATGCAGTAACTTTCTTCATGAAAGATTTCTATAAAGTAACAAAAACTAAAATGTTTTATGAGAAATGAATAATAATTTCTCAATGTATTATGAGCAATTATAACATTGTCTATAACAGAATTGTGATTACATAGACACTGAATATATAATAATCTCTTTTCTATAGTTTAATACACACACACACACACACACACACACACACACGCTGTCCCAAAGAGATTCTCTGAAGTTAGAGCATTTTCAAAAAACTAAGTTTAAAAACCAACCGTAAAAGAGGAGGTTCAGATTACATTGATAATGGAGTGTGACCTGGTCATCGGGGTTTAAAAAAAAAAATCTCCCCAGCTGATTTTAATATGCAATGAAGTTTGAGATCCATGGTTCTAAGAGTTTTAAAACTGAGAGAAGAGTAGGAAATATATCTTATATATAATGCCTAGGATGTTCCTACTTGAACTTTTTTAATAGTAACTAGTTTTGTTTAAGTGACTTATTTATTTATTTTTAACAGGTACACTGGAAAACCTAGAAGAACTGTATTTGAATGACAACCCTAACCTACATAGCCTTCCCTTTGAGCTGGCTCTCTGCAGCAAGCTTTCAATCATGAGTATTGAGAACTGTCCACTCAGTCACCTTCCACCTCAGATTGTTGCTGGGGGACCTTCTTTCATCATTCAGTTCTTAAAAATGCAGGGTCCATATCGTGCCATGGTCTGATACAAATCTGCTGGTCCCACACACTGTTCAAAATAGACTGCCATTAATGTTTCATATCTATATCTGTATCTATTTATGTAGATATTGATATATATGGCAGATTTATAAAGACTGCATTATGTGTTTCTGCTAATAGAGGAATTATAGCCATTTAGATTTTTTAAAATTCTGTACAAAAGGCTTATAAGTTTTCTTTGCTGAAATTGATGTTTTTCTGTTTGTAATCTGATATGCCAGTTTGCTTAAAAATTTGCCAACAAATTATGAAGTTGTTAAATTTAAGGGACAGGAGTAGTATAGTTAGATATGTTTATCTTAGGAAAAATAATGGACAAACGATTTTGTTGCAACTTTTCGTATACATTTTCCCATTACCAATTATGAGATCTTTATAGTGAAATAGGCCCTGAAGGTAGAATTTTTCTTTAACTTATTTTGAAATTTGAGATTTAAATTTTTATATATTGTTTACAGTCAGAGTAAATCACTGGATTTTTGTTGTTGTTGTTTTGATTTGCTCTGTTATAATCAGTCAAATAGAGTTTTATTCTCTGTTAAAGAATTTGCATCAGTTAGTATAAATATTAAAAGATATTTGCTCGTTGAAACAACTGGCAAAGTGAAATTATACAAAGATCTATAATTCCTTTAATTTTGATTCCTTTATGAGTTTGTGAAGCAAAATATCTGAAATGAGTCTTTGAGTAAGGGGAGGATCTTGAGACCTTTCCTGTTATAAATATGTTTTCTGAAGTTTAGGGGAACAGATATTTGTAGTGAAAAGGAGTTTTGTTTTTGGATTTTTTTTTTTTCATTCCTAAAAGTCGCAGATCCACAAAAACAGAAAAAATTGGCAAATAAATAAATTACACATAAACACATTCTATATATGTATATACAATGCTATATAGATATGTATTTATTATATCATAAACTACAATAGGTAACTTTAAGGATTTCTCCCTATCCTTGTACAATGAAATGAATGTCTTTCTTTGAAAACTGCAATATATGTACGTTTCAAGGTTATTTAACAGTGTACTATGGTTTTATATCTTGACTTGCCTTGTACATCTTTCAGTTCTAAAATATCTGTCTAAGCACAATATCTTCACACTGTGCTGTATTGCTGCTGAACTAAATGCACTTTTCCCCACGTGTGGGGCACTGGCTTCAAACAATTCAGTTCAGTACCATTACTTTTAATATCATCTTTTCTTTCTTGATAGTTAGTAATATGGTTTTGGAAAAGAGGAATATCGCACAGAAGCCATTGGTAGCTCAATGGAAGTTATGTAAAGTGTGCGTGTATATTTGATATATTTTCTTTTGCTTTACTGCCTTTAAGACTAGCAGAATTGTAAATGTGTGCCCCTTATGTAGTACTCTTAACTTTTGGTAATATTGGTCCAAGTCAGTTTAATTGAGGAAACTCACAAAGTAAGTGCATTCTGGGTATCATCCAAAAAAAAAACCACTTTCCACATAATAAGTATTATATAATTACATATTGCTGCTTTTTTTCCCATTTAGATGGACATTACGTTCCAAACCCCCCCAAAATTTGTTTTTAAATTATGATATTAAGATAGAGATTTGGGCTGTTTTGCTCTTATAGGCACTCAAATTCAGGACTAGGTTTGGGGTCAAACCTGTGTTCATAATTGACAATTTTATAAGGAACAACTAAAAAATGGAAGGCAGGTGAAGATATAAAACCCTAGAATGCTTAAATGTGCTGTAAAACTATTGTAGATGTCACTGGATTTTACCAAGTAATATCCTTTCTTTTTTCCATCTACTGTGGCTTTTCAGTTAAAATTTTGTTTATAAAAGGAATTTGTTTATTACAGCTCTACCTAGAGCTTGTGTGTATGTGTGGTTTTTTTGAAATTTCATATCCAACTATGTTTATATATTAGAGTGATGGAACTTGAACTTTAAAGGTAGTAACCTAATGTCTTTTCTTGGAAAAATATGGTTATTGTTTCTCAGAATGAAAATAGTTATAATTTTTAAGGCAGTTTGTTTCTCCCACCTTTGTTTATGTAAATCTATACTAGAAGTGCAAAGTTTAAAATTATCCCAATCTTACATGTAGAAGTGGTGTTACATGTAAATAGTATATAGCTGAGGAGTTATTAAAAAAAATTAAGACACATAAAACATGTCTTCTCTATGGATGCCACCTTGTAAGAGCCCATTAATTTCATTACTTCTATTGAAACTAGAATGGATTTTTTAGAATGTCATTGCAAAATCCAGATATTCAATATTTATAGTTTGAAAATAGTAAGGGATGTTATTGAGTGATTACTTATGAGCTAATTTTTTTTTCTGAAATTGCAATGGGACTAATTGGCATATCTAAAAATTATACTGCTATGGAAATTATGTTTAGTCTCTGATGCTTAGTAAATAAGATAGTCAGAGAATTGTAAAACTGTTGATCTAAATGTTGCTCATTGCTAATCTGAAGCAGTAAAACAGCAATAGTGATATCAAATAGTCCTCCTTTTGTGGGAAGTTATTACTTCCTAAATTCCAGATGATTATTTCATACAGAAAGAAGGTGGAAATGCTAAATAATTTATGAACTTGATGAAAACACTATTAGATTTTAAAACGTGTCAGAGGTATAAAATGTTAATTTATTACATATATTAAAAGGTGGGTGATACAATTGGAATGAGCTCTAAAAATTATAATTGCACGTTTCTAATTTTTCTTGTTGAATCTGTCATTTAAAAAGATAAACTCTTCTGCATCAGGTTATCTAGTTCTTCTGTGATAATTTTTGTTCTAATCTTTTGTTTTACATCTGTTATTTCTAAGCCGTGTATATTAGAGTCTTAAGTTTTAGCTTATAGAATTCAGCATGGCTTTTTTTTTTTTCTTAATAAGAATGGGTAGTAAGTGTATAAAATGGGACACTTTTCAAATGGAAAGGGAAGGAGGTACTATCAGTAGTTATTTTGGGCCAATAGTCATGTTTCAGAACAATCTCAGGCAAGTCAGAATATATGGTTATTCTTGTATTATTAAAATTAGATGAAAGCAAATAGTATAATCCAAAAGAAATCGAATGAATTCCTAAAATCCACCAATATTAAATTTAATGAATAACTCTGAGGAAAGGTCTCCTTCTGCCTGCACCAGAAGAAAGATAGCATACTAAATATCTTAACTAAAACCTTTCTCCTTCTTTATTCTTTTGATTGATTTGGTTAGCTTCACAAGTCATTCAGACAGTTGGAAAACGCATGACAATCTAGTCTGAGAATTTGAGTATGTAAAAGTAGTTATATTAATTTGTTATCTAAAGGGGTATCTTGAATGTTGTTTAGAAAATGAGAATGTTTTTAAAAATAGATATCAGTGCTGTTACTAAATAGAATGCCTCTGGTAACACTAATTCTGAGGAAACATTTCTGGGTTTATTCTTAACTTTGAAAATATGTTAAAAATAAAAAGGGTTGTTTTAGTTTTCACTTTAAAAACTGGAATTGGTTGTCATTACCCTTAAATACTTTCTTCTTGTATACACTTGTTAATTATCCCACTGACATTACACATTCTAAATATAAACTGCTTTGTGTGTAAATACCTGTTTGTGATCAAGACTTTAATTAGATAGTAATTTATAGTATCTCAGAGTAGGAACATTCTCAAGTTTGGTAGGAGAAAGTCTCCTCCACAGTTGCAGTAGTTGGAACAGGGCTGTTGTGTAACAGATTCTAGTTTATGTAGTGTACAGCAACATGACATCTTGGGGGAAAATATTCATTCTTAGATTTGTATATTGTGACAGTATATTAGTAGATGTCAGATGTTAAACAAGTAAAATTCCTTGTTTAACAATCAGTATGTTACATCAAATTTCTGACTGATAAGGAGAGAGTCTTGAGAACCAACACCCCCCCACACACACATACACACACACTTACACAAGGTCCTAGTTTGTTGACAAGAGATTATCTTTGTGCAAATTATTAAAGATCTATTCTAACAATTCTAATAGCAATGAATAATATTTAAATGGTGATATAAGCGTTTTAGATATTATAAGTACTTCTATAAATTATCTTATTGGACAGTATGATTTGAGCTAATGGGTGCTTTATCAGTAACCATCAAATTTTCTATTATCTAGGTTAAATTTTATCATTACTGGTGTCATTTATTCAGAGAATATTACATATTTACTTAGTTTATTTTTCTATTAGACTAATATTAAAATAACATAATTTTTCCTCATTTACTGTTCTCCCACTTTAAAACTCATTTTTAATATAGTTTGAAAACTTGTTAAATAAGAATACAACAAAGTATTCACAGTTTGAATTTTTCTCTAGTAAAGATCAGGTTTTCACTATCTAATGAGGTTTGTACTGTTAAATACGTAGCTATGATTCAAGGCTTAAAGGTGTAAATAGCCTTTAAATAATGTATTTTTAACCTGACTTATATTATTGACTATTTTTGACTATATAAAATTATTTTTATTTGTAAATGTTCTACCAGTGAGTCTTTTTAAAAAATAATTCTAATGGCATGTAACTAAAGCTGGACATGAAATCAATTTTTTTTTTTCTTTTTGTGGTACTGGGGATTGAACCCAGGACCTTATACATGTGAGGCAAGCACTCTGCCAACTTGGCTATATCCTCAGCCCCATGAAATCGATTTTCAGAGTGTCTTGAAACCACAAAAATGTGGAACTGAGAGAAATAAATTTTCATTACCATTTAAACTTCAGGAAACTTTGAAACAGTAAATGACATGCATAAGGTATACAAAAATAGGTGCATAAAAATGTACAACAAAGTATATGGTTAAGTAGTGTCCTTCAATATAATTGCTTATTGTTTATATTTGCTATGTATAAAACCCCAAATTACAGGGATTGAAGGGTTGTTTTTTTGGTTTTGTTTTTGGTTTTGTTTTTAAACATAAATCTGGGAATGAAGTCTGTCCTGTAATGGAAATACTAAATTATTAGAAATAATTTCCCCTTTCTCTGAGCCTTGTCGTGCTAATAGTAATCTCTCATGTTCCCCATGTACCATAAAGAAAATGCTTGCTTTGGGCCATGTGTGTAACCTTTCATAGAAAGTCTGCTCTGACTTGACTGTTTTTAAGATGTCATGGTAACCAAACGTTGAAATTGTGTGGCGAGGTTGTAATACCAACTTATAAAATTTAAAAAAATATTTTGTAAGAACAAAAGCTCTGAAGTTAAAGGAGATCTTATGCATTGGGAACTATTTAATTGACTGGAGAAATTTGACCCAGGAAGATGATTACTACTGGTGAAACTGGAATTGAAGACAAAACTCAATCTCTGTTCCTGCTGGTTGATGGGGAATGTGTAAGCTGCAGGCCTGTACAGCCAAAAAAAATCCATTTTAGTGTTAGCAGCTAATCAAGGAAGGGGATGCCTGCAGGTGTCAGCTCCAAGGCAAAGCCAGATTCTTCCCCACTACTATGACCCTAGCAGCTCACTGTTGATTTTTTGTTTGTGTGTGTGCGTGCTCTTGTCTCAGATTTAGAGAATGAAATCCATAGACAACAACAGAAAGCAAGAATAAGGTATTATGTAAGTGAGAAGAAAACTCCTGCAAGGTGAGAGGGGACCTGATAGCAGGTTTCCATTTAAATGTACTAGTGTAGGGGCTTATATATCTTCTGGGTAGGGGCCTTTATCAAAATCTAAACAGGTTTTAGAAAAGTACCAAAGCTATTGATTAGCCCTTGAGACTCTAGCCGCCTTTAATCAGGTCTGTCCTGCCTCCCTATTCCAATCACAAAGGAACAAAGGAATTGGTTGAAATGATTAGAATGTTTCTACAGGTTAACCTCTTGGAGTGGCCTTCACATTAAAAAACTTTAATTGGGACCCATTAACTATCCTATCTTATTCATTAGTCCTGTGCACAATGTAATGAAATGTTATTTTTCTTCTCAGAGTTTTTGATTTATATATTTATTTATTTTATTTTATTTTTTTTTTAAAGAGAGAGACAGAGAGAATTTTTTTTTTAATATTTATTTTTTAGTTTTCGGCGGGCACAACATCTTTGTTTGTATGTGGTGCTGAGGATCGAACCCGGGCCGCACGCATGCCAGGTGAGCGCGCTACCGCTTGAGCCACATTCCCAGCCCAAAATTATTGTTATTTTTTTGGTATACTGGGGATTGAACCCAGGGCCTTGTGCATGCAAGGCATATATTTATTTTTAAGCCACTTTACTTTGAAGAGAATGGATTAAAGGGCATTAAAATTAGAGGCCTAGAAGCTAATGGGAGGTTGTTAGGAACAGTCTATATGAGAGATAACAATGCTATTGGTTAGGATTATAGCAGTGGAAATGGAGAGAAAATTTTAAATTTGCACTTTAGGAAGAAATATTAGAATTGTTAATTGATTGGATAAGGTAAGACTAAAAAAGATTGCTCTCAGAAATATGGTCTAAGCTTCTGGTTATATTCACTAAACTGAGGCACTTTTGGAAGAAGACAGAGTAGGAAGAGGATGTGTTCTGGTGCTAGTGGGAGGTCCAGTGGAGATGTCAAGTAAGCAATTGAATCCTTCACTCATGCTTAGAAAAACCTGAAAACAGATGATCTAGTGTAAAGATAATTGAAGCAAGGACTCTCTTGTGAGATAGTGTAGAATAGGAAGAGGAGGAATCCTGGTGAACTTGAATACTTAGTTTTTGTATAGACAGGGAGCAGCTTGTGAAATCTGAGAAGTATCTGTAACACAGGTGGGAAAGTTATTTTTCCATAGAATTGGCATGGAGGGTGCCAGGTGGAGTATGTTACAGGCAGGCTCTTCATTGTCTTTCCAGTAATCTTA